CGGTTCGACTCGAACATGCTCACCATTCCCTCGGCCGTCCTCCAGATCATCACCATGTTGGTCCTCGCCTACAGCAGCAACCACTTCAACGAGCGCACCTTCCACTGCTTCGTCGGCGAGTTCTGGGTCATGCCGCTGCTCATTGCCCTGCTGACCATCTCGGACGGCGGCCAGGAGTGGGCGCGCTTCACCCTCGTCACCCTCATCTCCGGGTACCCCTACTTCCACCCGATTGTCACTTCGTGGATCTCGGAAAATACCTTTGACGTGAAAAAGCGAGCCATCGCTGCCGCCACCTACAACGTCATTGTCCAGATGGGCAGTCTCATTGGCAGCCAGATCTACCGCTCCTACGACGGCCCTTACTTCAAGCAGGGCAACAAGGTACTTGTCTCCATCTGCGCCTTTGCCCTCGTCGTCTTCGTTGCCCAGCGCCAGGTCATTGTCTACCTCAACGGCAAGAAGGAGAAGAAGTGGGCCGCCATGTCCGACGAGGACCGTCACATCTACCAGAACGATGTGCAGGCCCGCGAGGTGGACGGCAACAAGCGTCTTGACTTCCGCTACACCTACTAGGCTTGCCCTGCCCTGCCCTGCCCTGTAAAATGCTGGTGATATGCAACCTGCTTGTTTTCGATGCCATAGTTAGCCTGCCATAATCATTGGGCCCATGAGCCCCCTCCTCACATGCCATCTGTCGATGATTGTCCGTGATGGTGCAGATGGGCAAGATGCTCAACGTACAATTTAATGTCGTCTTGTCCGAAATCCGGACCCCGGACCCACATAACGCCATCGCGGCACCCCCCGTAGCTGTCTTCTCTCCAGGATACTCTCCAGCAGTTCATCAGCGCTCTTCAGCTGTCAAAGGGGGCCGGAAAGTCAAAATTCGGCCTGGACCCTGGATGCCCCCGCTAGAAACCCCCGGCCCCCTTGCAAGTTTTCTGCACACATCCCCCCTTGAACCATGTGGCCCGCGTGGACCACCCCTTCCAGAATGGGGACGAGCCCCGCTAGCGGCATACCGAGGC